TGGTTAGTACTCTATATGACCATTAATATCTTGATAAAAATTATGAGATTGGTAGAAATATTATTGTCCTAAATATTTTTCTTCTGTTCCATATCAGATGGCTCTTGTGATATGAGACAGACATTATATTTTTACTTTAATAATCATGCTTGGGTTTAGAGAAGGAGAGAGCCATTCTCCAACTCCAAAATCAGCTTTTAATCTTTAATTGAACTGAGACTTCAAAAAGACCAATCATATTATATGTCTGTATAGAAATAAGAAACAAACATTTGGGAAGAATTATGAAATTTTAGCCTGTTGTAAATGTGTTGTACCAATAGGTCAATTTATTTTTTTTCTTGGGACAATTTTTCTAGATGTTTTGTCCCTTTTCTCCAAACATTTCATATGTCCAGTAGTCTCTGGATTCCTTAGCTATATACCTTTTATTTTCATGGGAAGACAAAAAATAAAACCCTTCCTCAACCCTAAATTTTGGGGAAGTTCTTCTTGGTAAATTTTATCTGTTCAAATGAAAAGCATTTGTTAGTATTATAGATTAGTTGAGATTAAACAACCATGCTGCTTGAAGAACTATCATCTCTTCTAGTAAAGAGGTGTCTTTTTCAAAATGAATCTTTATCAATTTTGATGGTATCCATATTTTTTCTTCACCTGTGGAAACAAAAGCAGAACCCCTTCTCCAACATAACACATGTCCCTGTTTCCATTCGCAGGCCAACACATCTTTGAAATACACTGGTTGGTTTAATTCTGTAGTTTTCTCTAATATCCAATGTTGCTCTGCAGCTGTTGTTCCTAATAATGTGTCACATATGGGAAATGTCTCCCAGCAATCTCTGAAAGTCATTGAGAGTCTGCAATCGATCTCTCCTAATTTGCACCTTTGGGGGTCTAATTTTTTGTAAACTTATTTTATAACCTAAATAATTAATAGAAGCCAGGCGTTAGTAGTGCATGCCTTTAGTCCCAACACGCAGGAGGCAGAGGCAGGCGGATCTCTGTGAGTTCAAGGCCAGCCTGGTCTCCAGAGCGAGTACCAGGATAGGCTCCAAAGCTACACAGAGAAACTCTGTCTCGAAAAACAAAACAAAAAAATAATTAATAGAATCTCTTCTTTGTATTTTGTCAGGAGCAACTTGTAATCCTCAACAAGGCAAAATTTTCTTCTTCAAACATTCTGTATAACAAATACAGGAGAATTCCAAGGACTGGTAGATTATTCAATATGACCAGCATTTAACTGTTCCTGAACCAGCTGTTCTAGAGCCTCTAGCTTCTATGAAGTCATAGGACATTGCCCCACCCAGACAGGATTGTTGGTTAACCATTTTAAGGGTGGGGCTTTTGGTCTCTCTATGACTTCAACACTTGTTTTATTCTGTTTTTGTACAGCCTGGATGGTCAGTGTCTGTTTTATATATTGCCTTATACCACTTTTTCCATAAACATGAGTTGGCTTATGGTTCATTTTTGATACTAGGGGAATGTTAATTTGGGTATTAAGTTGCTGCAACAGATCACGACCCCAAAGTTTTACTGCTATTTTAGCCACATATGACCTCAGCCTTCCTCTTTGTCCTTCTGGCCCTATACTTTGCTTTACATGAGATAAGGTCCAATCCCTAATAGCTGAACATCTACCTTCTGAAGAGGCCAACTAAGATGCCAAGATTCTGGGGTGATAATGGTGACATCTGATCCTGTGTTCCAGTAATCATTCAAGCATAACACTATTGATTTGTACTCTTAGTTTTGGTCTTTGGCTATTTATTGATGTCTGCCAAAACATACATTTTCTGTTTCCTTCTTGAATTTTTGACTCATTCTCCAAAGTTATTCTACTATCCAGAGCAGTGCCATTTTTTACAATAGACACTGGCGTTCCTAACTATTCTAGGAGGATGTCCTCCACAGTGACTGAGAATTACTGGGCTGATTTTGACATGGGGCCTTCAAGAGCCTCCCCCATGAGTGGCTCTTACAGAATCACTATAGGAGGTAGCAGTGAGAATGACAATCATCTATTTTAGGCACTAGGAAGAGTTCTACTTGAAGTATAACCTGAGGGCAAAAATAAAGTATTATATACAGGAAGATTCTAGTTTGATACTTTCAACAGGGAACTAAAGAGTTTGAATGGCTTCACCAGGACAAGCATTAAAGTGATTGCAAGGGTGGCTATGTGATTAAGATGAGAGTGAAAAGGGACTTTGCAAATATCAGATGTAACATAAACCCTTGGAGACTGGGCATATAAACCTGAAATATGAGAAACTGGAATGATTAAGAATGACTATCACACCATTTGTTACAGTTACTCAAAGTATCAGCTTAGTGTCATCCTCACACCAGCGTCAGTCAACTGAAACTCTACCCCCACTGCATACTGCATGCACACAGGTGTATGTTTTCAACATGTACAACAATCATAACTTTCCTACAACTTATAGAGCAGAAGCCCTTCTAAGTATATTACACTAATATTTTTGATATAGCTAAATAGAAATTAGTTGAAAACTGTCTTAAACAGTCAAAGTGTACCATCAAAATGCTTGTATATAAAATAGAAATTCAATAGAAATGATACTCAATAGTAATTTCTCTCAAAATTAAACCAGAAATTTACCACAGTTGAAATATTAAGACCTTAAGAATGCAGATTGTGGATATGATCCAGCACTTCAAAACTGTAGGTAGGAGAATCGGGAATTCAAGGATAGCATGGGTCACTGTTTCAATAAGATAGAAAGATAAAAAAGCATTATTGAGCAGGTGGTGAGAAAGCTCATAGGGTAGAGGTGCTTACTACCAAGACTGGCCTGAATTCAATTCCCAGGCACCACATGATAGCAGAGAGAGAAAGTCTTACCTCCACACACGCCCCCTACACACAAATATACAACTGCATTTTAAAAAAATGAAAGAACTAGGGACACTAAGGCAGGAGGATCAAGACTGGGTAAGACTACTACAATGAAACCCTGTGTCAACAAAAACCAAAACAAAAGAAGCAGAGTACTTATTATTCACCCTTATTGTGTGGATCACAAAATATTTCCTGTGTTTTTTGTTTAACTCAAATGAAAAGACTTACTGAATGCAATTCGGTCTATGTGCTGTTGTTGGGGGTAGCTTTTATTTATTGATTTTTTTTTTGAAACAGTGTTTCTCTGTTTAACAGTCCTGGCTTACCTGCAATTCATTCTGTATACCAGGCAGGCCTCAAACTCAGTAAGATCTGCCTCATTCTGCCTCTCATGTGCTGTGGTTAAAGGTGTGCACCACCACTACCCATTCCAGTATTGTTTTAAAGGAAAAAAAAAGTATTTCTGTTTTCACTAGACCAAAAATACTCATTAGTCAATCAAATTATTACAAATATTAGTCAATGAAATTCTGTACCAAATATTCAACTCCCTTTGAATTTATAACTTACCAGCATGGAGAGATTTCCAGGCCCCCCTATCAGTAGTTTGCCATTTTATTTCCTTCTTTGTAAAATTGTGATAATAGTTATTATTTCTTTTCCTTTCCAATGTCAACCTGAGGGTCATTTGTATCTCAGCAGTTCCTAATGTTAATTGAAAACACAGTTTACAAGTACCTCAAAGAGCATTAGGCCACACTGAATACTATTATAAAAGATCCCAGACATTCTTAAATCATATCTAAAAAACTTAAATTATTTCCAATGGGTAGTAATGAGTAATTCTCCAAGATGTAAGTGTGTTACACAAAAGTTTGCAGTACCTTTTGATTTGGGGGTGTCTCTTTAGACTTTACCAGCAAAGTTATTATCATCTGTAAGGCTTTTCAACATTTCAATAAAATTTCAGATTTTCTGATGAGGTAGGCTCCACATACCCACTGAACACATTAGAAGATGAGAACACATTTCCAGATAAGATGGGATAAAATACATCATATAGCTAAAAGCCATAAAATCCTTAGAAGCAATACTTACTCTCTAAAACAAGCAGTTTTCCTATCTCCTAAAAACAGTTTCCAATTTAAGTAATGAAATACGTAACTTAGCAAAGTCCCAAAACTTCAGGAACTAAAAAGTATTAAAAAGACACACCGCTCAACATAAAAGAAAAAATAGCATCTACCACATACTCCACATACACTACTTCACAGTAATTCCTGCAGGACAGGAACAGCTATCCCAAGACTGAAGTTCTGTGAAAAGATCTATGGAATTCATACAAAGACATCACACCTTCTGTCCTACACTGTTTGTGTGATTCTTAAGTTTCCTGTTTAAGTTTTCTAAAATTGTAAAGATCCTCTCATGACTTTCTTTTGCTTTTGAACACACTAAAAATAAAAACAGATCCAGAAACCCTGGATCATCCCGCTAATCCCATATATCAGTAGGCTGAGGCAGTAGGTCACATATTACAATTACATGCAAAATCAGTTCAAAGATATACTGAGTTCCAGAATAAAGAGTGATTTAATGTGAGTGGGGGGGTTCTCTATGGGTTTGGGGCAGCCTAGTCTACAACAACAAGATCCACTTCTATACTAACAACCAAATTCTGAATAAAAATATTATTTACTTTTTAAAAATTTTATTTATTTATTATGTATACAACATTCTGCTTCCATGTATATCTGCACACCAGAAGAGGCACCAGATCTCATAACGGATGGTTGTGAGCCACCATGTGGTTGCTGGGAATTGAACTCGGGACCTCTGGAAGAGCAGTTGGTGCTCTTAACCTCTGAGCCATTATCTCCAGCCACAAAAATATTATTTTATGCTATCTTTCGTTCCTGTTATAAGGCATATGAAAGCATGGAGTTTTGGTATGTGCTAAAATTCCAGGAGAAGACAGAAACATATGAAGGTGAGTTGTGAAGTGATTAATAATATCGCTGCCTGAGAGGCCATTCTCCAGCAACACAGGGAACTAAAAATACTCACAAGTGGTGCATACTAGACTTTTGTATCTGAGGGGGTTAGGGAAAAAGACACTCACATTCTCTCTTGATGGTTTTCTTCTTTATTGTCTATTCTTCATGCTGTATACTTTCTTCAACACCTTATATACTCCAACTAAATAATTTCAGGCAATATAGGAATTACAATGTGGTTCCATTCTATTTTGCACATGATTTTTTTCATCTCCTTTACAGGATTAAAAACTAAGTCACCCCATAAACCCATATACATCCACATATAAGCAACTTGTTACAGATTAACAGAACATGAACAAGCAGAAAGTATTTTTTTGAGCTAACTCTTTTGTTGGCAGGCTGCATATTGTGATTACAAAGAAAGAATCAATCTCTTTACTATTTATCTTGAAAGGTAATTTTATAAGAAATCTTAAAGGAATTACTAACCTAACTTTTTTTATACATGAAGTCCTGGCTAGAGTACTCTGTGAGGCTGGATCATCTCAGCTAGCAACCTCAAAAATGTTCTGAGCAGTTTGTAACCCAAAGCCCATCTTTATTTGGTGTTTTTCAGAATAGTGTTGTTATAACAGTCCTGGTGAAATTGTTGTTATGAGGTTTCATCATCACTTTGAAGACTTCAGAGATCACACTACTTCAGATTATTCCTTTTCTTGGTAACTTTTTAAGATTACTTCCCCTTTTTCTGTGCATGCTTATTTATCCAAAGGTCTTTAAATTACTAAGATGTTTGCTTTTATTTTCCTGGAAAGACAAAAACAAAACACTGACCCAAACCTAACTTTGGGGAGGTTCCTAATCTGATCTTTATCAATTTTAAGTTTTGGTTTCTATGGAAACTTTGTTTCATATTGTAAAGCTGTTCTATCATCTAGAGCAGTGTGTTTTCTTATACTAGCCATTACGTTCTTTAATTGTTCTCAGGAGTTTCCAGGTTGACATGAAACGATTCAATCAAATTTAGCACAGGGGCCTGCAAAAGGGTCCTCAAGGAGTTTCCCAACAGCCAAGGGTTACCTTGAATGTCCCTTGTTGATCTACTTCATTAGTCCAATGCCTGCTTTGCCACACCTTTTACATAATCCAGAAGGGAGTTTTGTTGTGTTTGAATTGTGGTTAGAAAAAAATATCGTTTCTAGGAATGCCTTGTTTACAATTCCTTTTAAGGTAACCTTGTTTCCTACAATTGAAACACCTGACATTTTGATTTTTCTTCAAACCCTGGAAATCACCTCTGCTATCCATGCGTCATCATGATCATGACATTCAATATTCATTGTATCTTGGAGCCATTCCTCCAACTGTGCTGACCTTGCCTTTAAAGGCCTAGTTATCATTCTGTATTGAGAATTAGCATTTTCAGAAAGCCTGAGATTCAATTATTATTTGTCTAGCTTCTGAATTTAGTTATCAATTTACTGTTGATGTCAATCATTAATAGAAATCTGTGAAGGGTTCATTTTGGCCCTGTATAACTTTAGTAAATGACTCAATCTTCTTTCCAACTTTTTGAATTCTGATCCAAGCACTCAAAGCTGCTGCATGGCATAAAGCCAGGGAGTGGCCATATGAAGATTGACTTTCTATAGTAGCACAATCTCCATCTCCAAGAAGTTCATCTGAGGAGATTTCTATACCTCCAGCTCTACAGTATTGCTCAATGGTCTTAGCCTCCTCTCTGAACCAGGTACTCCATTGTAATTGTGAAGCAGGCTCTAAAACAGTTTTAACCAAGTCTCTCCAGTCTTTAGGGATAATTCTATTACAAGATGACCACGAGTTTAACAGTTGCTTCACAAATGGTGAATGCACGCCTTATGGCACCAGTGCTTCCTTGAATCTCCTTATAGCTAATATTGACACAGGAGTCCCATTAGGTCTTACAGAGCCTCTATCATTGGGCAATTTCTGTAAGGTTACTGGATATGCTAATGTTGGTTGTTTGAAAGCCTTAGGCGGTTCCTCTCTAACCGTATGATGCCAAGCTGAAATTGGTTCTCCTTTAAATTCCTCTGTCTGGGTTTGAGTATCTCTATGATCTGTTTTAATCAGTTTTTCGAAGACCTGTATATTGGCACTCATGTCAACCAATATTTTAGAGAGAAACCAAGAATCATCAAACAGACAAGGACTATCAAAATAGTAATTAACAGTACTTCAATCCAGGTTAAGTGGATTAGCCCTTTATTTAATTATTCTCTTTTTAAATCATCTCTCCATTATAATAGTGTTTCCTATTTTTAATGCGGGGGGGGGACATCTGTCTTTAACTTTAAGAACTCCCATTTTTCTTATCAAATCTGCCAAAAATTATGATGAAGATGTGACGAAGGCTGCTGTACCATAGAACGGTAAATTCCTGACCAGATTTCAATGCAGCTACCTAGTTTGACAGCAGCCTGAGAAGGGGGTCCAGAGAAAGACCACCAGAGAGGAAAGCCTAGCTGGCAGAGCAGTGACTCCAGCTCCATGTAGCTCTAACCTTTTCTGTTAGCTGTAAAGCTTCAGAAAAATGGCTTTTTTCCTGATTTTTGTAACCCAAAAGTAGGGTGCCAAATGTACCATGAATTTTAGTTGGTATAAAAAAGAAAAATCCAGAGACAGATATTGGGGTTAAAGATGAAGATGAGAAAAGCACTGAAGGCAGCTACTAGAGATTTCTCACCTCTACCAACGCTCAAAACCAAAAAGGGCAATCCTGTCCTCAAATTGCATCTCCAGACTGCACTGATCCTCAGACTCCATTGAGCTCCTGTCCCCTCCCTCCTTTTATTCCTCTCTCTACCTGCTAGAGCTGGGATACTGGCTTGGGATATCAAATATTGTGATCAACTTTGTATGAGCTCTCTGTCTTTTAGACTGGATCAATCTCTTTGAGTTCAGGGTGGCCTTTAGATAACAGAGTTACATCTGCCTTTATCTCCCAAGTTCTGAGATTAAAGGTGTATACCACCACTGCTTGGCCTTTATGGCTAACTAGTGTCACTAGGTACTTTTGCACTCTGACCTTCAGGCAAACTTTACTTTTTAGATTATAAAATATCACCAGTTACATTATCATTTACATTCATAGGGTTTGTTTTCATGAGTTTGTAGGTACAAACAAAATACAGACAGACATCATAAGACCTGAACAGGTTGTTGACACACTGTCCAAATTTCTTCTCCAGAATACTCTTATGCAACTTAATGTAAGTGTGTTGGCTAAAGACCTCACCAAATACTTTATAGTAGCAAAGAGTTTAGTTTTTTCAGGACTACTGACAAAGACTACTGCAATATGCAAAAGCTTTAAAAGATTGATTGCACACAATTAATTTTACTCCTGTATAAAGTGCAAAACTTTACCACATCAATTACATTTATATGGTTTCTCTGCAGCATGATTTTTTCACATGATTTTGAAGACTATTGATATATGCAAAGGCTTTACCACACTCATTACATTTATAGGGTTTCTCTCCAGTATGGGTTCTTTTATGCAATTGAAGTTGACTGTTCTGTGCAAAGGCTTTCCCACACTCATTACATTCATAAGGTTTCTCTCCAGTATGTGTTCTGTCATGCACTTGAAGATGACTGAAACGTGCAAAAGCTTTACCACACTGATTACATTCATAAGGTTTCTCTCCACTATGTGCTCTTTTATGCATTTGAAGAGTACTTAGGTGTGCAAAGGCTTTACCACACTGATTGCATTCATAGGGTTTCTCTCCAGTATGTGTTCTTTCATGCCGTTGAAGGCTTTTGTGACATGCTAAGGCTTTACCACACTGGTTACATTCATAGGGTTTCTCTCCAGTATGTGTTCTTATATGTATTCTGAAATCACTGTGACTTGCAAAAGCTTGACTACACTGACTACATTCATAGGGTTTCTCTCCGGTATGTGTTCTTTTGTGCATTTGAAGAGTACTAAGATGTGCATAGGCATTACCACATTGATTACATTCATAGGGTCTCTCTCCAGTATGTGTTCTTTTATGCAATAGAAGTTGACTGTTCTGTGCAAAGGCTTTACTGCATTGATCACATTTATAGGGTTTTTCCCCAGCATGTGCTCTTTTATGCATTTGAAGAGAATTGAGATGTGCAAAGGCCTTACCACACTGATTACAATCATAGGGTTTCTCTCCAGTATGTATTCTTTCATGACGTTGAAGATGACTAAGATATGCAAAGGGTTTACCACAGTGACTACATTCATAGGGTTTCTCTCCAGTATGTGTAATTTCATGCATTTTAAGATTACTGAGTTGTGAAAAGGCTTTACCACATTGAGTACATATATAGGGTTTCTCTCCAGTATGTATTCTTTTATGCCGTTGAAGAGAACTGTGAACTGCAAAGGCTTTACCACATTGATTACATTCATAGGGTTTCTCTCCAGTATGTATTCTTTCATGCATTAGAAGATTACTGTAACGTGCAAAGGCTTTACCACATTGATTACATTCATAGGGTTTCTCTCCAGAATGTGTTTTTTTATGCATTAGAAGATTACTGTAACGTGCAAAGGCTTTACCACACTGATCACATTCATAGGGTTTCTCTCCAGAGTGTGTTTTTTTATGCATTCGAAGAAGACTATAACGTGCAAAGGCTTTACCACACTGATCACATTCATAGGGTTTCTCTTCATCATGTGTACTTTTATGTCTTTGGAGAGTACTGGCATATGCAAAGCCTTTAGAACATTGATTACACTCATGGGGCTTCTGTCCAGTATGTGTTCTTTCATTCCATTGAAGATGATTGTCATATGCAAAGGCTTTAACACATTGAGTGTATACAGAAGACTTTTCTCCAGTTTGAATTCTTTCAAGCCTGCAAGATAATTGCCACATGTAAACACTTTACAATATTCAATACACTGATGAATGTTTTTTGTATGATCTAATTTTACAATTTGATCCAATTTAAAATAAGAAATCTTAAACTTTTTAGCACTGTGTTTATACTCATGTTCCCTGTCATTATGAGTGGTTTTGAATCTTTGAAGAAAACTGTGATGATAAGATCCTTTATTACGTGGTTCACAGTTACAGAATCTCTCATCTGTATGAGATTTTTCACATATTTGAAGAGAACTGGAAAAACTTAGAGCATCACCACCCTTATTGCATTCATAAATTTTCCTATATGTGAGTCATACTACATTTGCTAAGTGACTAACACAGTATTTCCACAGTCCTAGTACTCATAGGGCTTTTCTGCAGTATGAGTTTGTTGATGTATTAACAATGAAGCTGCACAACCAATTACTTGTATACTTGAATCAAATTCAACAAGAATACTCAGTGTGGGGACTGTGACATATCTTCTAATTGGTCAGATGTGGAGGAACGTTATATCTTCCCATTATTCCTATGCTCATGTGGCTTGTATCCAGAGTGAGATATGATATACCTAGTAAAGGGAGAATAACAAATAAAAGATTTCTACATCCAATTCACAAAGTTTGACTTTCTTTTCTCAGAGATTTGTGGTATAGGGATTAAGGTTTCTCCATAAAAACTGCCTCTTGACTCTTGACTCTAACTGCCCCTTTCAGTAAACTTAGCACAGCCACAAGTATATGAGTAACACTAGCTTTATTATGGACTATTTGCTCATTAGAAGGCTTTGAACATATACACTTATCACCTCTTCAATGTGTATAACTGTAGTAAGGAGAGTAGTATGAAATAAATGGGTTGACAGTTCTACAGCATAGCTCCCATCATACTATGATTCAAATGGTGGTATATGTTGAGGCATCGTTTCCTTTTCTTCTTTCTTAAAAGAATGCCTTGCAAATGCAATTCACCTATCTGGAATTAAAGTATATGGTAGTGTGAGAATTTAATAATCAGCAATGCACTTTAACCTGTGCTTATGTATACTGTTGCTTTTCTTTAAAACTTAGGGGACACGGGCTGGAGAGATGGCTCAGAGGTTAAGAGCACCAACTGCTCTTCCAAAGGTCCTGAGTTCAATTCCCAGCAACCACACGGTGGCTCACAAATATACGTTATGAGAACTGGTGCCCTCTTCTGATGTGCAGATATATATGGAAGCAGAATGTTATATACATAATAAATAAATAAAATCTTTTAAAGAAAGGTTATGTGTCCTCACATTGCAATTTCCTCAGAGTCACATTTGTATCAACTTGCACATGAAAATTACCTTGAATGTCTTCTATAACTTTGACAATGTTCTTCAATATTATGGTCTTCCCAACTGTATCCTAAAACATAGCACCAGACAATGGATGTTACATTATTGAAAACTGTGCAAATTTTAAGTTACCATCTTCAGTGACCCTTAAAACTATGCATGATTTATACACCTCATTCTTCTTCTTTTTCAATCTAATTACAAAATATCAATAACCAAGGAATTGTTGTCCCCTTATTTTAAAACATGAGGGAATAGTCAGTCTTACCTATAGCAGTGAGGTTCCTGTAGGTCTCCAGCATCACATCTTTGTAGAGATTCTTCTGGGAAGGATCCAGCAAAGTCCACTCTTCCCAAGTGAAGTTGACATGTACATCATCATAGGTCACAGCATTCTAAAATATCCCACACATGTGCACAACAGAAAGTATGATACTGACAACATTGTGAATGTATACATCTTTGACAGTATAGCCATATAATTCTGATGCTCCCCACAATTATTCTAAAAATAGACACTATAATGAAATGACCAAGTCACTTTATTTAGAAGGAAACTGAATAAAAGGTCACCTCTGTCATGACTGTACCCTTTAAATGGGATATCAGCTTGCAAGAGAAATGCATATTAACAAACAGAGAGAGAGAGAAGTAAATAGGCCAACAGTACAGATTACACATGAGAGAAATTTTATGAAAAACTGCTAACTACAAAAAAAGAAAACTAAGATGGAGAAACTGGGTGTGTTGGCTCATGCCTTTAACCCTGGCACTCAGAATGCAGAGGCAGGTATATGTACCTCAGAGTTGAATGAAGTCTAGTCTATCCAATGAGGTCCATGGCAGCAAGAAGTACATATTAAGACCCTGTTACTTTTGCAATAATCAGTCAAACAAACAAAAGATAGGAACAACTTAGAGGATTTTACTGAAGTTCTTACAGAGTTATAATGGGGGATATCCTTTTGTAAATATGTTTCTCTTATTGGTGGATGAATAAATCACTGTTTAGCCTACAGCCAATAGTGGTAGGAAGATAGGTATGGCTAGGAGATGAGGAGAAATCTGGGAAAGGTAGGCAGGGACAGCTCACCAAAACAGACACAATGGGTGGCTGGCCCAGTGATTAAGAGAACTGACTGCGGCCGGGCATTGGTGGTGCACGCCTTTAATCCCAGCACTTGGGAGGCAGAGGCAGGGGGATCTCTGTGAGTTCGAGGCCAGCCCGGTCTCCAGGGTGAGTGCCAGGATAGGCTCCAAATCTACACAGAGAAACCCTGTGTTGAAAAACAACAACAAAAAAAAACAAAAAACAAAAAACAAAACAAAACAAAAAAACAGAAAAGAAAAGAGCACTGACTGCTCCTCCAGAGGTACTGAGTTGAATTCCCAGCACCCACATGGTGGGTAACAATCACCTGTAATGAGGTACGGTGCCCTCTTCTGGCATTCAGGGATACATGCAGGCAGAACACTGCATAGATAACAAATAAATGAATAAATAAAATTTTAGAAAATGAGACGCCGTGGAGGAACTGAGAGGATCAGACAAACCAGGCGATCTCTGGTAAGATAAGACCATGTGGAAATGCATAGATTACTAGAAATGGGTTAATAATTACTAGTGAGCTAGCCAATATGAAGTCCTCGACATTGACCAACAGTATAATAATGAATACAGTGTTCATGTGTTTATTTGGGCCTGAGAAGGGTGGAGGGACCTGGCAAGACAAGAAGAACCACCAGCAACTGACTTATTCATTGACTCTAGTTCTGTATTCATCTTCCTGAAAACTGAAGTGCCCTAAATTGAACTGTAGCATCAAGATTTTACTAAGAGGCATTGCATGTTTAAACAGTTACAAATGAAAACATTGGCAATATAAATGTTGACTATAACTAATAAACACAGGACAGGAGAGATGGCTCAGTAGTAAAATAGCTCCTGCTCATCTTGCATATAGGTGGGCTCAACTACCAGTACTTACACAGGGCATCACTACTATCAATTATTCCAAGTTTAGGGTTTCTTACACCATCTTTTGAACACTATGAGGACCAGGTACCCACATAGTACATATAGATAGATACAAGTAAAATATTCATATTCATTAAAAACTTCAAAACACATACAACAGGCAGGAAGAAAGTCATGCGTCTGTAATCCAATAATTCAGAAGGCTCAGGCAGTATCAATGTTGTAAATAGTTGCCATACTGGGAAACAGAATGATACCTTCTACATCTCTCTCTTTGGTTACTTCCACTCCCTATGTGCAGCTAGGTCTCCATGGAAGATGTCTCAAAACTTAGGTATCTTAATATCTTATGGTCTCAAAATGTAATCCAGGCTGTTGTGTAATATTATTTTAAGATGTGTTATATTTGTTTATGCCATGGAACATGTTTTAAGGATGCAAAGATGTGTTGCATTCTTTTATGTTGAATATGTTTAACTCCGTGAAGTTGTGATACTTTGTCATTCAAAAATGCCTGATTGATCTAATGAAGATCTGAATGGCCAACAGCTTGGCAGGAAAGGATAGGCAGGGCTGGCAGGCAGAGAGAATAAAAGGGAGGAGAAATCTGGGGGTAAGAAAACACAAAAAAGGAAGGAGTAAGAAAATGAGCGGGCACTAGGAGCCAGCCACCCATCTACACAGCAAGTCATGGTGTAAGAAGTAAAGAAAGGTATACAGAAAGGAGAAACATAAAAGCCCAGAAGCAAAAGGAGATGGGATAATTTAAGAAAAGCAGGCTATATAAACAAGTCAAATTAAGGCTGAGCATTTATAGGAAGCAATAAGTCTCCGTGTGTGTGCGTGTGTGTGTGTGTGTGTGTGTGTGTGTGTGTGTGTGTGTGTGTGTGTGTTTTATTTGCAAGCTGGGTGGGAGGCCCCCCAAACAGTAAAGAGTTATAAAAAAATAACACCAGGCTTAATCCTCACAGCTTTATGCAATGAACTCTCACAGTATTCTCACTGGGTTTCTGACTCTGCCAAACATAGATGCCTGCAACAATGCTGAATGGTAATCACACACTAAGAATTCATGACCTTAAATTTTGATTCTTTCTAGTTTCCAGCACATGATGTGTGATACTGCAAAGTTTGATTGGGGAAGAAAGAGTCCTTGCCTCAACTGCTGACAGTATGCTGTCCAAATTGATCAAGCAAGAAACAAAAAAGAGTGACTGCAAAACCTTGTGAAGACAAGGCAGGACAATTCTTCAAAAATCCATGTTTACAGAAGACTATAGGCCAAAGATTAATGCAGAGGAACCTGGCTGACTTTCCAGGCAGCCAGATATTTCTGTCATTTCTCACATTTTTCAGAAGTCTCTTGCTTGCAATTTGTGCTTACTCAGTTAATATGATTTCCTTCTCTGGTCGCTGAGGAAGTTGAAGACTTGCTGGGTATAGTTTTCCTTGTTTACCAGACTCAGAAAAGAAACTCACTAAAAAGGTGTAAAGTATGAAAGGTTGAAAAACATTAAAAGATAATTTGATAATGCAACTTAGAATAGAAAGTGAATTAGGTACAACCATTTGGACTCACCGAGATAGGATAGATATGGGTGTTTTCTCTGAATTTCTCAAATGCAAATGGACTAGACATTGTTAATATAATTGCCTTATATATGAACATAGTTATTGTACATATTATATATAGTTTTTCCTATATTAATTACAACCATTATTTTAGACAAAAAAATGAGAAATGTGGTGGTATTTTGTTAATGATGTAACAAATAAAGCTTGCCTTAAGATAAGAGTGCAAAGCTAGCCAAACCAGTCAGCCATACAGGTCAGGCAGTGCTGGCACATACATTTAATCCCATCCACACTGGTTAGCCATAGAAGCTGGGCAATGGTGGTGGACCCCTTTAATCCTAGCACTAGAGAGGAATATAAGGTGGGGGGAGACAGGAGTGCAGAATATTGAGTCTGCAATCATGCTGAGGACACAATTGCCCCTTTTGATCTGAGCCTTGGTGGAGGTAAGAACTCTCCAGTGTCTTGGCTAGTTTGCTTTTCTGATCTTCAGCTTGAACCCCAGTATCTGTCTCTGGGTTTTTATTAATTGTGCTACCAATATATGTACTAGCAAATGATCTCTCTAGTGTGAAGACTCCACCTGATGCCAAGTTGAGAGTTCCTCTTTCTATGAAAATCTCTAGAGCAGCAGATTACAAATACCTACATTAAACTAGTATTAGTGAAAATTCCATTATCTAGGTTCCATCTCCTAACTGCTATGATTCAGAGTGAATCACATGTTTCAGAGTAAGCTGTAGTAAGCCCTTCTTGCAATCCTGGCAAGTAGCCAAATTTGGTCACCATGACTCTACACTTGTTGAGATTTTGTTTTTAAATCTCCCATACCAACCCCACAAATGTGTACATGGCACGACAGATGCGAACAAATGCCCTCAGTCTCTGCAGCCTCTGTTATTCATCTCTCATTGACTGAACCACTTCCTTTTCTAACTCTACAAGAAGCAGTAAACCTAGCTCTTCAGACCTAACACTGACTTTTAACTATTTAGAGGATTACATGGCATATGGCCCCAGCACTCAGAAGCTGGGAGGAAAACTGACATGAGTCAGTGACTAGCCTGGGCTAGATAAGAAAACAACAAGAACAAAATTGCATTCAGGATAATAAGAGCTGGCATAAGAATTTAAAGTCACTGAAAAACCCTTAAATTTCAGAGTGGCATGAACTGCACAGCACTTTAACTAGATCACTCTGGTTGCTGTATGGAAATAAATATGTAGCAAAAAGGAAAAAATAAACAGTGGCTCTTACAGAATCACTATAGGAGGTAGCAGTGAGAATGACAATCATCTATTTTAGGCACTAGGAAGAGTTCTACTTGAAGTATAACCTGAGGGCAAAAATAAAGTATTATATACAGGAAGATACTAGTTTGATACTTTCAACAGGGAACTAAAGAGTTTGAATGGCTTCACCAGGACAAGCATTAAAGTGATTGCAAGGGTGGCTATGTGATTAAGATGAGAGTGAAAAGGGACTTTGCAAATATCAGATGTAACATAAACCCTTGGAGACTGGGCATATAAACCTGAAATATGAGAAACTGGAATGATTAAGAATGACTATCACACCATTTGTTACAGTTACTCAAAGTATCAGCTTAGTGTCATCCTCACACCAGCGTCAGTCAACTGAAACTCTACCCCCAAATCATACTGCATACACACAGGTGTATGTTTTCAACATGTACAACAATCATAACTTTCCTACAACTTATAGAGCAGAAGCCCTTCTAAGTATATTACACTAATATTTTTGATATAGCTAAATAGAAATTAGTTGAAAACTGTCTTAAACAGTCAAAGTGTACCATCAAAATGCTTGTATATAAAATAGAAATTCAATAGAAATGATACTCAATAGTAATTTCTCTCAAAATTAAACCAGAAATTTACCACAGTTGAAATATTAAGACCTTAAGAATGCAGATTGTGGATATGATCCAGCACTTCAAAACTGTAGGTAGGAGAATCGGGAATTCAAGGATAGCATGGGTCACTGTTTCAATAAGATAGAAAGATAAAAAAGCATTATTGAGCAGGTGGTGAGAAAGCTCATAGGGTAGAGGTGCTTACTACCAAGACTGGCCTGAATTCAATTCCCAGGCACCACATGATAGCAGAGAGAGAAAGTCTTACCTCCACACACGCCCCCTACACACAAATATACAACTGCATTTTAAAAAAATGAAAGAACTAGGGACACTAAGGCAGGAGGATCAAGACTGGGTAAGACTACTACAATGAAACCCTGTGTCAACAAAAACCAAAACAAAAGAAGCAGAGTACTTATTATTCACCCTTATTGTGTGGATCACAAAATATTTCCTGTGTTTTTTGTTTAACTCAAATGAAAAGACTTACTGAATGCAATTCGGTCTATGTGCTGTTGTTGGGGGTAGCTTTTATTTATTGATTTTTTTTTTGAAACAGTGTTTCTCTGTTTAACAGTCCTGGCTTACCTGCAATTCATTCTGTATACCAGGCAGGCCTCAAACTCAGTAAGATCTGCCTCATTCTGCCTCTCATGTGCTGTGGTTAAAGGTGTGCACCACCACTACCCATTCCAGTATTGTTTTAAAGGAAAAAAAAAGTATTTCTGTTTTCACTAGACCAAAAATACTCATTAGTCAATCAAATTATTACAAATATTAGTCAA